TTTTGTTTTTATTTTTGTATGTGTCTAGCTATATTTATTTCATATGTTTGTGTGTTCGTACTTTCAGTTTTATAGATTAAAACTTTGGAAGTATCCAGCAAGCACTACTTCCATGCAAACACGTGTTTGTTTATTTCTTTCAAATATATGTGGCTCATGCCTTCACAGTGCTTTGAGGAGTTCATTTTAATACAAGAATCTCTTTCCTTTTCCCGGTGACTTTGATGCTGTTTGAGGTTAGAGATAGTCATAAAATGCTACAGCATACTCATCTGTTACCTTGACAACACCAAGGCTTGCTAAAGGCAGTGACAGGGATGCTTTCAACTGCACATCATGTTAATTTTTCCTTATGATGGTATTGTTGATTGTCTCTGTCTACCATTGCCCCCTTTTCAAATATTGTTAAGTGATAGGTTCCAGTTTTCCAGTATTACTAAACAAGAGCTTTTCTGCAATCCAGGTATCTAAACTTAAGTGGCCATGAAAATTTAAAAAGCAGTGGGTATTACTGATGAAAACTCCCTAATGAGCATTGTTGAAATGCATGTTGGCACAAACCCTATGATATGAAATATGCCTCAGGCATTTCTAGGGTAATATAGACTATCTTGTCATTCTTAGCATGGGTAAATTTAAGGTATTGTTAAACTTAGTGGGGTTTCTTTTCTGTCAGTAAGCTCTACAAACTATGTATGATTAACTCCAATATTTGCTTTTTATATTCAGTGCCAATTATAAAATGAATTATTCATTCAAAATCAGTTTACAGAGCATAATTTCAGTATATTAATAATCTATGATGTAGAAAATATTGCCAGGATTTAGGCATTTTTCAGGATCCAGGACACACTGGATTGCTGTGAGGGTCCTCAGTACTACCTGTCTTTCAGTGCTCAGACTGCTCAAAGCTTTCTGATGAAATAAACAAAATATAATCTACAGGCTTTTTAATGGATTTCACGAAATTCATTTTTTAATATGTCAGAAGCATTTACAAATTCATTATCTGTTTTCATCCTGTTTTGCAGGAAGAAATCAACAAAAGAATAGCAGGAATCAATAACATTTTCTTAAATTTCTTGCTAGAGGTTGTCCAGGCTGTTGTGTAAAATCTTAAAATAGATGTATACCCCAGCAAATTTATTTTCATCATAGTGCCCAGTGTTAGAACAACTCTGAGAGGGGGCTTCCGGTCTGGCTCCCGCGAAAGGCGGACGCATCCTTGGGTCGCTCCCGAGGGGCGTCTCGCCCGCCCGCGGTGGAGGAGGGAATCCGCGCGAGCGGAGACCCGAACGAGCCCCTCAGGATGTGAGGAGCTCGGATCCGGGGTGCTTCAGGGCGCTCGAGGGGGAAGTCTCGCTCTCAGCCGAGAGGTTGGAGACGAGGCGCCCACCATGCCCTGCCCCTTTGGACCTTGCTGCGCGAGCGATCCCGTTTTACGGGGTTTAGCGGAGCCACCAGACGTCACCGAGTGATAAAGCGATCATCCGAAAAAGTTGAAAAAGAAAAGATCGGCCAACTGTGAGTTGTCAAAATGCAAAGAAAAAGATCTAAAACCGCTTCCCCCCCACCCAGCGAAAAAGGCGAGGAGGTTAACCCTCTAACTGCATAAGCGAAAAAGAAAAGGAGGGGGGGAATGGACTGAGCGAACAGTGATGTTTTCCCTTGATGTATTTGAAATAAAGCGAGAGAAAGTTTTGTCTCTCTGGAGCACAATTTAAGAACTTTCTAAAAGTAAACAAAAAAGAAAAGATGTCGGAGCTGGGCAAAAACGAGCGGAGAGAAGGGAGGGACTTCCGTCTGGGCGTTTGCTTGTGTGTGAGAGCCGGCTGTTTAGTGTTTTGGACTGTTTATGGTTGTGAATCCGATGGGAGTTTTGTAAAATGGAAAAGTTTGAACTGTGACAGCGAGGAGTGCCTGGCAAGCGCTTATATACGTCCAGTTTCGAGGAGGACCCAATAGAGAGTTTGGGAGCGGAAATAAAAGCGAAATGAAATTAATACCATTCTCAAAGTTGGGGACCTCCAAGGCATGAAAGGAAGAGGATTTATAGTGCATGAACTGAGTATGTTAACAGCAACCCGAAGGAGGATTTAACAAGCCGGAAGTAGAAGACAACAGAGGAAGCCCCTACACGTCAGCGATAGTAAAAGTGCCCAGCACGCAAAGAAGCGGTTCTGACTGTGTCCAGAAGAGATTTTTCTTTTTTTTATTAACAGAAATTCAAGGGAACTCAAGAGAACATTAACAGAAATTCAAGGGAACATTACTAATATACTAACAGAGAATTATATGTGACTGAACTAAGAAAAGAAGTTTGACAACACACAGAAGAAGCCCAAGAAGATTAATTGGACATTACTAACAGTTTAATTTACCAGTTTATATATCACTCAGCTTTCTCTTTCTCCCGCTGTCTACCCTTCCCATTTTTTTCTTTTAAGCGAAATACCTCCCCTTTTTAGGGGAGCTAATAAAATCTTTACAAAAAAAAAAAAAAAAAAGAACAACTCTGAGAGGTACAAGTCGAGACCAAGGGGACAAGACAGAATCACTAACCAGAAACGCAAAGTTGAGAGTTCAATCCAAGAGTCATACACAAGGGAAGCCAGCTGAGGATCCAAGAAGCAGAGTCTGAGCAGGTCCAAGAGGTGTAGTCAAGCAGGTCTGGGGTCAAAGTCAAAGGTTCAGGAGTTGCAGACAGGAACAGGTCCGGGTGCTGTGGTCACGTGTCTCCAGAAAGGTGACGAGTTGGTCCCACACCTTCCCCATCTGAAGCCCCATCCTTTATTGGTGGCTCACAGCCGGGTCTCGTTGCTTGCGAGAGAGCCATCTATTTGGTTCATTAACCCCAGGTGTTCCTTTTAATTTGGCAGTTGTTGGGCAGCAAGGCCCACGCTCCGCCTCCTCTCAAGGACCTCCAAGTGTGCCTACCTCCTCCCCTGTTCCCCTGGCTCTGGGCAAAGGGGAGGCAAGGTATCCTGTGAAGTCTCCCCAAGATCTTGGGTTGCTGAGGCGCTGCCTCTCTGGGTTTCCTCTTTGGTGTTCCCAGTGCTCATGGGGCTGGAGTACTTGCTGTCCTCAGCAACTGGGGCACTAGGACATGCCTCTGCCATCTCAGGGTCATTGACAGCACCAGCTGGTTGAGTCTCAGAGGTGCTGATGGGGTTATTAGCAACATCAGCTGAGTGATCCTCAGCTAAAGCAGGCTGGCCCACGACAGCCTTCAGGAAGGAGAGCACATATTCCTCTCCTGCTTTTTGAGATCTGTTGTGGCCTAGTGATTCTTTCTCAGCACTATATAAGATCTGTGACAGTGTGCAACTGACCCTTTTCAGTGGTAGTCATGATACCATTTAGCTCCCTGTTGAGAGAATCCCATCTGAGCTGAAGTCTAGAGTAACCTTAAGATGGTATCGTAAAACTGATCCATGCAGCCTTCAGTGGGATTGTATAATATTGCTGCAGTTATAACTTTAAAAAATGTGTTGTGTGGTTTACATTTTTATTGTTTTTTGCCTTTTCGGTACATCACTGGGAGTTGTGTTAGAATAGAGTGACATATGCATTTAATAAATATTTAATATCTTGTATTCAAGTATGAATTTTGTTTGCCTAGGTAATAATTTATATGGTGAATCTTGTGCATTATCATGTGGTAATATATAATGCTATTTATTTATATACAGCTTTTACTTAATTTCAGTAAATCACAGCCTCATTATTTAATAAGCAATTTAAAATGTTCAGAACCCAGCCAGTATAGTGATAAAGCACTCTCAAATTTGGTTTTTTTAAAAAAATATATTTTAATGAATCACTGTGAATTTTTAATGTCAAGACAGTGGGTTTTTAAACATTTGCGCTCTCCTTGATTTTTATTATTAAACAGAATTGTGTTGTATCCATAACCATGCAAGTTAGGCAGAATCCGGTCTGCTGTATGCAGAAGTATGATTCTAAGTCATTAAGGGGCTATTGTGTACTGTAAACTTTCCCTCCCCACCATTGCCATATCTAATTCTGAACTGGCCCTAAAGTGTGAAACAAACAATCTGCCCAATGGGCCTAGGGACAGACAGGAAGGATTTTTATACAAACCTGAGGAAAGCCCCAGGTTTGCAGAAAATTGTAAAAAGATTAAGAATCAAATAGATAATAGAATCAATATCAGTAGCCTCTAGAGACATGCCCTCTGAGAGTTCATGAGACTACATTCTGAGATCTTGGTGAACATTTTCAGGACGCAATAACAATACTGCCAACCTGTAGTTTGTATCACTCAAACCATGAGGGGGGTGTGTGTAAGCCGCCCTGAGTCTGCCTTGGTAGGAAGGACGGGGTATAAATCAAAATAAATAAATAAGAGATTAAAGGAGTGGAAGTCAGCAGGGGAAGGGGAGAGGAGAAGGGTGGAAAAGTTAAAAAAAAAGGAGTTAGGTGAGTGGGAGATAAGAAAAGGGGGAGAGGCTGCCAGGGGAGGGAAGGAGAGAAAGCTGAATACTGGAGGGGCAGCTATAGGTAGGCTGGTGGGCAGGAAGAAGCAGAGAAAGAGAAGATGCTGTGGGGGCTACAGGGAAACAGCATCATATGGAGAGGACGATACAGTGAGGACCTAAGAACATAAGAGAAGCCAGTGTTGGAGCAGGCTAATGGCCCATCCAGTCCAACACTCTGTCACACAGTGGCCAAAAATACCAGGTACCATCAGGAGATCCATCAGTGGCTGAGGACACTAGAAGCCGTCCCACTGTTGCCCCACCAAACACCAAGAATACAGAGCATCACTTTCCCCAGACTACCTCCTGTGGCAGTGAATTCCATGAGAAATTTATCTTTTTGTGTCCCTCACTTGTAAACACAGTATTTCTGGAATTCAGTATAAACTATGCCAGACTGAAAGATACACAATTACCTATGAACAACATCAGTTTCCTTTGAGACTTAGCAGTGAACTTCTGGAGCTAAGTTAATCAGTTGCCCTCTTGTCTTTCCAGGTTTTCAACACATACTCTAATGAAGACTATGACAGGAGAAATGATGAAGTTGATCCAGTGGCCGCATCAGCTGAATATGAGTTAGAAAAACGAGTCGAGAAGCTGGAGCTTTTCCCGGTAGAGCTCAAAAAAGGTATACAAAATACACAGTGCTATTTAAAGGTGGCTTCTTTTCCTGAAAAGCATTTTAGATGTGAGGTAGAGTTCTTGCCTTTCCCTTTTAAAGACTGATGTGAAATAAAAGTTGACAAGAAACACCTGAAAATATTTTGGTCCTTTAGGCTTTGTTAAATAATTGGCAGTGCAGGAAGTTCTATTTTGCATTTTTGTGAGATAACACATTAATTCTCATGAGCAGCAGTTCTGCATGGCTAAACTGCCTAAGTCTGATTGACTTCCATGGGATTTAAACAGCCTGGTGTTCAGGATTGTAGCAAATTGCCTGGATCCAAAGAGCTACTGTAGATGCCCTCCCTCTCTTCCTTCCAACATAAGCTGGTGGAATTGATGGCCCCAAGCTGGTGGCAGTGATCAGCCAGGTAGGTAAGTGGGGCAATCAGAGTAGTGTGTTCAAGTTAGATTATTAGACTTGGATCTGGGAGGGCCAGGTAAAGCTTGATGGATGATCTCAGCCTAATCTACCTTATAAGGTTGTTGTGAGCATAAAATGAGGAAGAGAGAACTATGGAAGAGGCAGATAGAGGACGGTTCCCCTCCATCACCATCCACTGATTGGCCATTTGCCTGCATGCCTGGCTAGCTAACTGACAGAACCAGCCTGGTTCTACTGTTGCAGCAACAGCCACCAGTATATGCTGGTGGGATCGGGAGGCAGGTGGAGGAAAAGGAAGTTTATGTATTCATTTAGAAAAAATTAATGCTGCCTCTCTAGGGAGCCTGCTTGAGGTGGTTTACAGAATAAAAAAAATTAAAACATTAAAAGTTATTAATTAAAAACCCACCCCCAGCACAGAAAGAGAGACCACTGAGCAACTTCAAGGAATAGCTTTCAGACTAAAACACACTAAAAACCATGGTGTTAAAAGGTATGCTCCTTAATTAAAAGCCTGGCCAAAGAGAAACATTTTGGTCTGCACCTAAAAGGGAGCAACATAGACTTTCTTTTAGGACTTGAGGCAGTCCTCTCAAGCCATTTAGGGATCTAAAAGAAAGAAGCAGGACTGAATTGTGCCCAGAAATGAATGGGCAGCCAGTTCAGATCTTTCAGCACTGGGGTGATATGGTCTCTGACAGTAGCCTGGCTGTTCTGTTTTGGATGAACTGAGGTTTCCAGGTTGTTTTCAAAGGCAGCCACGTTTAGAGGGCATTACAATTATCTAACCTGGATGTAATCAGAGCATGAATCACCATGGCTGGATCACGTGTACTTTATTTGCAAATAAAACCCCAAAATTGTATATCGCTGCTGTATGGCATGGGAGGGGGCTGATGTTTGAGCAACACTAGTTCAAAGTCTGCTGGACATATAGAATCAGTTGTGTAGTTGTTCAAATTCTTAAATGTATTATTTTTTCATTATGGAGAACAGCTATTTCAGTTATACTCTGAACTCAGATACATTTACTGTGGGCCAAAGCTCCATGTCTACACAAAGTATCTTATTAGTAGCTGTGGCAGGAAAGATACAGGAACCTCTTTCTCTTTTCATAGCCCATGTGGCACAGTGCTTAGAGTACTGAGCCAGGATCTGGGAGACCCAGGTTCAAATCCCCAGGGTGCCCTGGAATGTCATTGGGTGGCCTTGGGTCAGTCATTCTCTCTCAGCCTAATTTACCTCAGAGGTTTGTGGTTTAGATGATAAAATGGAAGACAAGGTAATGTTCTAAGTGGCTTTGAATCCCCATTGGGGATAAAAGCAGAGTGTAACTGTCTATGTTTTATTGTATTTATTCTGTTGTATTTTAACTTGTTGTAAGCCGCCCTGAGCCTGCCCATGCGGGGAGGGCGGAATATAAATAGAAAATATAAATAAATAAATATAAATAAATTAAATAAACATAAATGAATAAAATGACGAACCGCCCCTTTTTTGAGCTAGTTGGCTATAAAGATAATGTATATAAAGTACGCCTAAGATATTGCAAAAACTAACAAAAGATATGATGGGAAGTGCTAGAAATGTCAAAGTACAGATGCAACATTCTGTCATATGTGGTAAGCATGTAAGAAAGCAAGAAATATTAGATAGAGATACATGAAGAAATGCAAAAGATATTAAAACTCAAATTTGTGATGGACCCCAAAAGTATGTTATTAAATATCATACCAAGTAATAGTACAAGAATACATACTGAATTATGTAATTATATGGTGATGGCAGCAAGGGTATCATTTGCGGCAAAATGGAAAGCAGAAAAATGTCCAGAACTGAAGGAATGGCAAAATAAATTAAATCATTATGTGAATGGCAAAATTAACATCTCATGTACATAATAGACCTGTCTCAGAATTCTAGGAAAAATGGAAAGTATTTTTAATTACATAGCTGAGAATCAAGGTTAAACTGTTAAATCGTTAAAACAGAAAATGAGTCAGGATATGTGTATGTAAAAATTTAAGGTTTGATATGAAGTAATTAGGTAAAGATGGGAAAAACCCAAACAGAAACACGAAACTGTGTCTATAAAGTAATTATTTATGCAAGCAATTTCTGATAATCAGGGTAGTTTTTATTTGTCTGTGTAATTTTTGTCTTTGTACCTATGTATGATTAGATATTGTAGATGATGCAGTAATAGAAGATCACAAGTGGGACCCACAAGAATCTTGTGGGAGCAGCTATCCCATTCCCCCCACCTCTGCTTCTTCCCCTCTCCCCCTACTTCTCTCATGCTCTTTCTCCTTCCCGCCACCCCTTTTTCTTACACACTCTCTCGCTCTCCCCTCCATACCTGTCACTTCCTTTCTGCCCCTACCCCATCACTCTTTCTGCCCCTGTCACTCTCCCGGCCTCCCACCTACTCTTCCCCCACAGCAGCAGTGGCAGCAGCTGCTCTCCAGGAATCAGAGTGGATTGCCCAAATACAGAGATCAGTTCCACTTAGGGCTGCCAGCTCCATGTTGGGAAATTCCTGGAGATTTGGAGGTGGAGCTTTGGGAGGATGAGGTTTGAGCTTGGACGTGACCTCAGCAGGGCATAATACCATAAACTCCACCCTTCAAAGCAACCATTTTCTCCAGGGGAACTGATCTCTGTCATCTGGAGATCAGTTTTAATTCCAGGAGATCTCCAGCCATCACTTGGAAGTTGGCAACATGAGTTCCCCTGGAGGAAATGACTGCTTTGGAAGGTGGAGTCTAAGGCATTGAATCTGTCTGAAGTCCCTTCCAGCTTCAATCCCCACCACCCCCAGGCTCCACCCTCCAAATATCCAGGAATTCCCCAACATGGAGTTGGCATCCCTATCTCCTTCCCACCCAACAGCCAACCTACCTTTATCTGCCCCTCTGTCTTTAGCTTTCCATCTCCTTTCCCCCTGCAGATTCTCCTGAGGAAAATTATGGTCTCTCTCCACAGTGGAGAATAAAGCAGTTTACATAATTCTCTCCTCCTTTTTATCTACACAACAACCCTATGAGATAGGTTAGGGTGAAAGTATGTGATTGGTCCAAAATCACCCAGTGAGCTTCTAGTGAGCTGGGGATCTAAGCCTGGGTCTTGCAAACCCTGCTCTGAAGCTCCGAACATTATACTACACTGACTTTCATAGGTGGCTGCTGTTGAACAGTAGCAAGCAGCAGGCCTAGTCAAATCATGCAAGTCAGGTGGTATCAAGTCATACAGAGAGTGCTGCTAGGGCTAGGTTTGCCAGCCTCCAGGTGGGACTTGGAGCCCCCCCAAATTAGAACTGAACTCCAGACAACAGAGATCTGCCCCCCTGGAGAAAATGGGTAGACTCTGGCATTACATCCAGCTGAGGCCTCTCCTCTCCCCAAACTCTGCACTCCTCAGACTTCATCACAGAATCTCCAGGAATTCCCCAACCTGGAGTGGGCAATCCTAGTCCGAGGCTTGGGTCCAAAGCCTCTGCTATGTAGCCATTCATGCTTCAGGAATCCTTCCCAGTCCCAGATCCAGTCCTGCTTTTGCTTCCTCCTCGCTCTCTCTATCTTTCTCTCTCTCTGTCTCTCTCTCGATGCAGTAGGGCCTGGAGTAGATCCCTGCAGCAGCCATTTCAAAAGGTGTTGAGGGGAATTCAAACTTCCCTGAGTGGTTTTTGGTTTTTTTACTTTTTTGGATTTTTCTGTAGAAAACCCTGAGTCTGTAGAAAAACCTGTTGGGGGAGAGTGTGCCCCCTATCTGCAGAAATAAGTATCCGCACGCAGAGGGGACTGTTGAGAATTAGATATATGGATAGATGATTGTTCATGCATGTGCTTATATGGTTATGTTTATGTTATATTTTTGTATGATAGTAGTTTTTATTGTGTGACAAAGCTAAAAAATTGAAAATAAATATAAGATAAAGTACATTGAAATAAGAAAACTAAAATCAGTAGACCTTGCTTATACTTGGTGGCTTAAGGTTTAGAGAAAACTGTCTAATGACACTATGTGCTAGTTTATTTTGTACCTGTGTACAGCTGTAAAACCATACAAAAAATTTCAAGGAAAATTTTGCCTACGTGGTTAAACATGATTCAAACATATGAATCTGAGTGGAAGATTTCTTTGAAAATTAATTGTATGCCCTACTGTATCTACTTCACAGATGAAGATGGGCTTGGCATCAGCATTATTGGAATGGGAGTTGGAGCAGATGCAGGCCTTGAAAAACTGGGCATATTTGTCAAAACAGTAACAGAAGATGGGGCAGCAGAAAGAGATGGCAGGTAAATGAGATTCACTGAACAGAAACTGCATCAGCAATGCTGATTATCAATTCTGGTTGTCTTAAAATACTGATTGTCATCATCTGTACCATTAGGTTTTACCTTGTGTCTCGGGCCGGTAGGATTTTGAGTATTAAAGGGTGTGTTATCTAGTCTGGATGTCTGAATAGTAACATCCTACCTGAGCCTAGGAACACTTACCCACCACCAGTGCTCAGAGATTGTGCTTGTCTCTGGGGTTTTGCTGTGTCCTACTGGACTCAGTGACATCATCAGATGGGTTGGCTCAAGCTACAGGGAATGGATTGTAATGCTGTATTGAAATGGTGCAGAAAAATACCAACTCTGAAAACAAATAGAAAGCTACTGGACAGAATGCTACATTCGGGTCCCAGCTGACATCTTTTGTTATGCAACTTTAATTATATCTGGTGTGGGAGTTTCAGTTAATGAACAGTTAATGCAGCAAAGCTATAAAAATGATGAACAAATTATTATGAAGGATTAATGCAACCTTAATTTCAGCTATCGTTTGCGTATTAAGATTGTTTCACATGTCTAGCTACAGCCATTACTTGTTTCTGTGCAAAACAGATATATTAATACAGATAAATTTAGCCATGGCTTCTGTCTCTGTTTCCCGAGTTACTTGTGTGTGTATTATATTGTAGCTTTTTCTGTGCAAGTAAGTTTGTTTACCTTGAATTGCTGCAGTATACAAAGCCTGTGTATTTGAGACAAAATAGTAGTAACAGTTAAATTAGAAAGGGTATGACATTACATGTTTTACAGTGCAGTCCTAAGCAGAGTTACATACCCTTCTAAGTCCTTTGAAGTCAGTAATCTCGGAAAGGTGTGAATCTTTTGAGGATTACCTTGTTAATGGCCTTCCAGTGTTGCTTTATCTTCTGAACACAGAGTGCTTGAAGGGGAAACAAAAGTTATACCAAAGGAAATTGAGATTCTTATAGGATGACACCTAAAGCAAAATCAAATCAGTATCTTAAAATTACCAGGTTCAGTTGCAAACGAAAATATCTCCTTTCGGCAGTGTTTAAAGACAAAAGGATAGAGGAGAGACAGTATTTAATTTTACAGTTGTTAGTGGTTCATCATTTGATGAGTATATGTGCAAAATATACATAAATGTGTTTGAAAATCACTGACTTGGTTGCCAGGGTATTAAAATCGTTAAGTTATTTTCCCTTTTCTAATAATACAGTTGATACAAAAGTTCTGCTTTCTGTATGTTGAGAAAGCACCCAGACAATTCTAATATATCATCAGTGTGTGAGTAATAGAATCTCAAGCATCATCTGCCTTGATCTATCTATAGATCTTTGATGGGTGAACTGAATTGTAATGCTGCTCAACATACCTCTCCAGTGGGGAACAGAACCAAACAAGAAAATCCAGTTGTGCATTTGTTGTGTTCCCCATTTCCAGTTAAATGATGCATAATAAAAGGCAGTCAAAAGGAATTTTAAAAAATGCATGATACAGTCCACAATAAATGGACCCATGCACGGAGAATCCTGGTATGGCTAAATAGATCCCAGTGTTCCCTCTGTTCCCAATCTACTCATGGGTACAGGTAGATATGTGGGCCGTGCAAGGATGAATTAAAGGTCTGTATATGCTTCTCATAACCTTTTCCAGCCCTCCTTTTTGCCTTAATACAAATGAGCAATATTCTTATTCTGGAGCATAAATGACTTGCACTGAATGGAGAGAGAAGATTTAGTGGGTAGAGACTGCAACACCTGAGCAAGGCTGTTAGTGATAGCGTGTTTTAATTGACAGCATCACCATAAGTCAGAAGCAATGTAACAGCTCATAACACATACATGTGTGGATCTTCCGTCATCATCAGAGCCCAAGGATCAGTTCTTTAAGCCTGGCAAAACACCTCTCCTCCAATCCTATCTTGTGCAGTACATCTTATGACTCATACCTGGAGACAAAGTTCATACTCATCCTGCCCTGAATCATAGCAGTTCAGTTGTTTTGGACTGCAGGGTTTCAAGACTATGGCTCTTTCCACACCAGGTTTTACCCCATGCTCACACCTGTCATGACTTGTGGCATTTTTTGCATTCTACATTGCTTCCCTCTTTCAAGTCACCATATATTTTTATTTCTGCATTGCCTCCAGTTTTCGCTTTTCATTTTCTCTGGGTTAATTTTAAATTCTACATTGTTCAGCTATCAGTTCAGCTTTCCCCCGCTGTTTACACAGAGTATCTGAATGCTGTTTTTTGGCAAACTTTAACCCCCCCTCCACCTGGCTCCATGCCTGAGTAATGCAATGTAGAATCAAGCCTTCGGAGTATTCATCCCCACCCCTTTTCCAGCCCCCTCGGCGGCCACTCCTCTGCCCACCCCCTTCTGCATCTTCCCAGGGGAGGCAACAGGAATCCTTTGTTGTGTTTGCAACTGAAGGAAAAGTATTGTGTGGGTGTGGCATGTGCTTTGAGCTGGGCTTTTTTCTCAAACAATTCCCCAAAGACTTTCATGCTAGCAAGCACCAGGACAAAAGTCAAAAGGATCTCTGCATTCTGTAAAATGGCCTCTACTGTTGGAAGCAGTGCAGGGCAATCAGCAGCGTGGTCGGGCTTAAATCTGTCTTTTTTCTTTCTTTGATTCACTTTTTTGGGGGAAACAGTTTCATTCACAGAACTGAAAAAGGAGGAATTAAATGGAAGGTGCAAGGAGCAAGGGGGGGGGACTGGGATGGACAAACAAACAAAATAAAGGAAGGATGATTATCAGCACGGAATGAAATTGATACCAGGACGATAAAGGTTTCTCTTTGTAATGCTTCAGTGGACAAAAAGATCTGACAGCTTCTCGTAAAATAACAAATTTTAAAAAATAAAGAAGGGAATCGCCACACTCTGTGCAGAGCACAGTCAGTGGCGCTGGATCTCTGTGCATGGGGGGAGGGAGAATGTGGGGAGGGTGTCAAACGCTTCCTGCTCCCAAGGCTCCTTGGCTGAGATCTGGAGCCCACTGCGGCCAGGGAGACCCACCGTGGCCAGAGCAGCAGGGAAGGGTTCCCCGCCACTACAAACAGCTCTCTGTGGCTTTTTGTTGGTGGTGCCCCAAATGAGGCACAGGGGAAGGGGACCAAAAGAGTAGCCCAGTGGTGGCAAGCCAAATGGGGATGGGAAAGCAGGGAGGAGAGGAGAGAAAGGAGAGGGCACGGTGTGCCTCATCCCTTGCACACACACTCGGCCAAGTCATTGGCAATTGGATGCAACCCCCCACAGGTCACAAGTGACGTTAACCACAATTAAGCAAAAACTGCAGGCTTGGGTTGTAGATGCAGCATGTATGATTTGCATACTTTGTGATTCGGGGGTGGGGATCCTGAGGTGTAGAATTGCAGGCACTTAATCAGGAGTAAAGGCAAACAGAATTGGGTACGGAGAAATGGCAGGGTAAATATGCATGCGGAAACAGCCTTGCTTAGCTTCTGAGATCTGATGTGATCGGGTAATGTAATCAACATGATCCCTATTATGTTTGTTTTGTCTTTGTTGTTGTAATAAAGGAACTAAATTGTACCACCTGAAGACTAATGTCTTACAACCTGAAATTTAATTTCATGTGTTAAAGACTTGGTACTGTTAACTTCTATCTCAAGTGCTGCTATTGAATATAATTAGTCCTGTCCTCAATAAAAGCTATTCCATATCTGCATGCACTGCAGAATTACAGTAAATGCATGCATTCAACTAAAGATAAAATACCAGAATATTTCTTTTCAAAGCTCTGACACTCTTAAAATGTTTTTCCTCCCTCAAACAGAAGTGACATAATTAGATTTGAGCTGCTTAGGCGTACTTAGGTATGAAAATATCACCCTTATTTGGAGCTGATGAAAAAGAACATGTTATACAGAGGCTATGCCAAACCATCCAACATAGTTCCAAAAAATGAGTCAGAAGCAGGAGGAGAGGCATTGGCAAGGAAAATAGAAAATAATTCTTTGAGATTTAATTCTGAATTAATAAATTTTCTGCAATTGTACTTTGTATGCAGGTTCCTCTTAAGAATGTGTTATGACTTTTCAGAAATCAATTTATTGTTATTCTTTTGTTAGTAATTATTGTCTTGGTACAGATGATGGATACTATCCACTGGGAAGTTCTCCTATACAAGTTCCACTGAAAATAAATTGCACAAAATGCAATGTGATTTCCAGCTGCTGTACATTTCCGCATGGCTTGTACATGAGGCCTTTCTAAAGGATTATAACTGAGGACTTTGGACATTGAGCATTTGGGTTCAGAAGACTTTCTTGGTGTTTTTGTATATCAAATTCTGCACAAAAAAGTTGTAGGAAAGAATTTATTATATTGACAAGCAGTTTTGCTAATATTGTGGATATTAAACTGTGTAGTTTATGAAAGAATCCATCTGTCTCAGTAATAACCTTTTAAAACATGTTTGCATATTTCAGAACTGAATTTCAAAATGTCAGATCAAACTACTCAACAGTGGGCTTACTCATATATCCACCAATATTGTAAGTCAAGCCCTACTAGAGTATTCCCACTTGTTAGTTCACAGCACTAGGTCTGACCAACTGATTGGTTAACTCACTATCCTTTTAAAGTGCAGTGTGTTTAATGCATTATTGCAACGGCAGGGTTGTGTAAGTGTGCAAATTTATGATGATTATAGAGGTCAATGAGAGGATCTTGGGCTTGAAAGTTCATGATATTTGTAATATGCATGATTTGGAGCACCATATTTATAAAATGTCCATATGGTGTTGAACATGGTAATCTCCCATCATGTAGCAGCCATATAACTGGAATACACCGGAGGTTAAAATAAAAGATGAAGATAAATTCTTTATCCAGGATGGGATGGTGGATACAGATAAGAGAATGTGATTGCAATCACTTTTAAGGGATGTGACATATTTCATAGTGAACGTCTTTGGCAGCCAAGCATACACTATTGGACACTCACCATCAAACCATGAGCCAATAAAGGAGATGTTTGGTTTTCATCAAGCAACTTGGAGAGCTGCAGAACAAGTTTGACTTTGCCTGTGGGTCATAACCCAATTTACCACTGGTTTGAGGATCAGATGAGAGTAGGATTGTTATCTCCCAGCACTTCTCTGTATTCTAGCTTTGTTGTGCTGGGACACAGGAAAGTTTCAGGGGTAATTAGAAGTGGATGGGGGATCAGCTGGAAATGGGTATCTGAGCCCCCCCCCCCCAATGCTATTCGGTGATGCGGGAGATCAGAAGTCATCTCCTAATGGCAAGAGGAAGAGGGATAGGGTTAGGAAAAAGAAGTCAGTGGAAAAGGAAGGTGGAGAGAAGAGAAGGGGAATCGGCTTAGTTTATGATAACCACCCCCACCCCCGGTTGCTGCATCTCTGGCAACTTTGGGACACAGCAAAGTTTCCTGGGTGGGAGATCAGAAGAATCCACCTTCTGTCTGATCCCCACAATCAGCTAGGAGTTGTTTCCTAATCTCCCCCCATGTTCCTGGATACAGAGCAAAATTTTCCCAGCAGGAGATCAGAAGCCAGCTCCCAGCTGATCCCTCCAACTGGAGTAGATATTTGATAGCTACAAGAATTTGATCATGTGAATAAATGCGAACAAGTCGCAAGTCCAACTGCTTACTGCCGTAAGGGAAAATTGTGCCCAAGATAGCTCTCTTACAGATGAACACACATTATCCTAGATTATAGGGTGCTGGAAGCAGTTGATAAGAGAATAAGGCACAACATAGCAGCAGCAAAAATAACTGAATACATCAGAGGGCTCAAGCCATTGATTTTTGTGCTACTGAAGCATATGAAGTATAAAAGTGATGGCTGCATCTGTTTCAAAATCTCCTGACTGAATAACATGCAGTTCTTAAAACAAATAAAAGTAATAATGGTATTGCAATTATGCCATTTAGTAGTTACACAGTTTTTATTTTTAGCAAAATGCATGGTACGTGGATCATGTTGGCTCACTTGCCAGTACTGCACAGCATTCATTTGGGGGCTGCCAGAGCAAACCTATTCACAGTAGTCAGCAGGCATCTTTAAAAGGCTGGAAGGTATATTTCCAAACACACATACTGATATGGCAGGCTGCTGAGTGAAATCAGTTATTTTATACAAAAGTGTATTGTGTACTGCATACACATACATGTTACCCAAAGAATTCACCAACCTTTCATGCTCAAAATTGAGATATTTAAAATGGTATTCTTCTCAGAACATTAGCATCTGCAGCAATATGACCCTCCCAGGGCTATAGAACCATACATTCAGCATATATATAAGCACACACGTGCATATATGATTTTGAACATGAAATGTTGATGTGCTCTTTGGGTACCTTTGTCATGCTGAAACCTGAACATGGTCCCCAGTAATGCATGTTTGGAAATTCTCATTGAAAACTGAGGATATTATTTGAATATTGAGTTGAACCCTCCCTTATCTTTACGGAGGCAGGAAGTTGGTTGCAATGACTGTCACCTCCCAGTGTAGAACGCCCATCCTTTTCCCACCTCCATCTGGTGCTATTTTTCTTGCTTTCAACATGGAGACAGGACAAGAACTGAGGATGGGGGGTTTTGCAACCGACTTCATGTCTTCAATGGATCAGGGAAGATCGAACCTAATATTCAGAATGATGCCATCGGCTTCCAGACATAAGGAACCTTCACAGTGAGTAACCAAAGTTCTAGTCCCCCCCCCTTTTTTTTAAGCTCACATAATGTTGTTTTCTGTTTGGAACACTCCAAGTTTGCTGTCTGCAGTGTTGAATTTGATTGGGTGTCTCTTCAGGACTTTAAAGAGCTGTATACAAAAGGCAGTCTATGCTGGACTTTTCAGAATTTCACTGCAACAGCTTCCAAAGCTGAAAAGGCAGATAAGTTTTCATACGTCATTTAAAAAAAAAATGTTTATACCCCACCTTTCCCTCTATCATGATCCACCATACTATAACAACAACATGAAAAAACAATAAGACAGAATCAAGCACAAATAAACATGTCAGCGCTAGAAAGAAACTAAAAGCTAAAGCAATAATAAAGACTAAATTTACTAGGGTGATAACGAAATAATAGTTAGCCCAAATAATTAATCTGCAAATAGGAGTGATTTAATTTATTGTCTGACAGTGCAGGAGCCAAGCAAATCTCTGTCTTAATGGAGTTGAATAGTCTAGAAGACGGTACTGAAAAGCCTTTGTCTTACGTAGAGCTAGCACCCACCCACTGCACAGTAACTAAGGAATACAGAGCTGGTGGTCTTATGGTGATGGTGACCTGAGTGAATAGGTAGTTTCATATGGGATAAATGGTTCTTTGCAGAGCTATTGTGAAAATGTATTTATTTATTTATTTCTTAGTTTGATTTTTACCCCGCCTTCCCCTGATTGTTTTGTCCTATTCCCATCTTTGTTTATCACTCTTCCTGCATCATGGTCACCACCCATATAATAGGAACTCAATTTTATTTCGATTCTAAGCCTTCTGAGCAGGGATTGCTTTACTTCTGTTCTGCACATTATTGATGTGTCTGTTGGCATTAACAACGCATAAGAGAACAAGAGGAGAATATACGGCTGCTTAAATGAACAAACCTAGGCTTATCTATGAATAGAATGAGCCTCTAAAGTCCTTGACTTGCATGGTTCCTCTCCCCCCTCCCCGCCTAGCACGGGTTGCAGATTGAAGACTTTCCTGATTTCATCCAAACCACAGTTTTGTCTTGACATCCAAATCAGACAGATAAACTACTTTTGCTTTTTGGCTACAAACGGAATTCTAAATCAGGATCAAACAGCAGTTTATATTCCTAGTTTAGTGGGATGAAAAAAACAACAGTTTGTGCTTTTGCACAGTTTAGATGTCATGACTAACTATGGTTTTTCTTAATAAACCTAGAAGTCTCTAATAGGTGTCCTGCACACAAGTGAAAAAGGAAAGAAGTGTGTGAACTAAATGCCTTAGGGAATTTGTTTGTATGTTGTTGATATGTCTATTATGTTATCCATGCATTATAGAACAAGAACAGAATATATAACTGCACTGAGAAATCATGCACAGACCTCATAGAATCATAGAGTTGGAAGGGACCTCCAGGGTCATTTAGTCCAACCCCCTGCACATTGCAGGAAATTCACAAATACCTCTCCCCCACACCCCCAGAGACCCCTGTTCCATGTCCAGAAGATGGCACACAAAAAACCCACCCCTCCATGGCCAAACTGACCTCGAGAAAAATTGCTTCCTGACCCCAAAGTGGCTATCAGCACTTCCCTGGGTGTGTAAGAAAGGGCCACAAAAACGAAGCATTGAGGCAACCCTTCCTGCCCTCCGTCTCATGATCTGCCTAAATTCACAGAATCAAAACTGCTGTCAGATGGCCATCTAGCCTCTGTTTAAAAACCTCCAAAGGAGAGCCCACCACCTCCTCAGAGCTAAACTCTTCTGGTTTAATTTCAACCCATTGGTTCTGGTCCAACCTTCTGGGGCAACAGAAAACAACTCTGTACCATCCTCTATATGACAGCCCTTCAAGTACTTGAAGATGGTTATCATATCACCTCTCAGTTGTCTTCTCTCCAGGCTAAAAATACCCAGCTCCTTCTACCTTTCCTCATAGGACTTGGTCTCCAGACCCCTCACCATCTTCGTTGCCCCCATCTGGACATGTTCCAGCTGGTCTATATTCTTCTTAAATTGTGGTGCCCAAAACTGAAGACAATACTCTAGGTGAGGTCTAACTAGAGCAGAGTAAAGCAATACCATCACCATCAGAAAATTAAGCTGTGGAATTCACTGCCAGTGGACGTAGTGATGACCACTAGCATAAATGGCTTTGAAAACAGGCAGATTTCATGGAGGCTATGTCAATCAATAGCTACCAAGCCATGGTGACTAAAAGGAACCGCCATATCCAGAGGAAGTAAACCTCTGAATGCCTGTGCTAGGAGACAACATCAGGGGAAGGCCTTGGCATCCATGCCTTGTTTGCTGGTCCCCAGGGCAACTGCAAAGCTACTGTGTAAGACAGGACCAGATAGACCACTGGTCTGTTCTGGCAGAACTTTTCTTATGTGATATCTGAATGCAGCCTATGTGTAATCCTACTATAAAAATAGCAAGGAGGCTGATTTTTAGCCATGTCTGAAAGTGTTCCCACATGCCCATGGGATTGTTGCACAAGTGCAGGTACATTCAGAATTTTGGTTTTCATTTAAACTCCTGTAAAAAATCGAAAACATGGGATCAATTCCTGACAAAACTTGGCAAGCTGAGTGGGCCTTTCAGTGAAGTCAGAGGTCTGACTATAGTGGCCTGGCTTCTCTCTGTTGTATCTACCGTTGCCTGGATGTTGCCTGAACAACGACAAAGCAAAATTCACATTCAGGGATTCAAGGTTATACAGACATGTTTACAGGACTGCCACTGTGCCTGATGTTGAATCATTGGTCATTTATTCTATTTATTTCTCTCCCATCAATGTGAATAATTAGTTTAAAAATAACTGTATTTAGTTCAGATGGTAATTTTCTGCTCCTGAAACAATGCAGGATGACCTCTTGCTTCTTAACTCTGAAATGGTAAGACTAAACGATTCTTTAATTCAGCCACAAGGTAACAGTTGTTTGCTGCTGACTTAATTATTTTGAAAATACATACACATGTATACACACACACACACACACACGCACACGCATACATATACAGTTTACTTGTTATGTTTTGCTGAATATTCATTACTTAGATGCTGTCTGTTCTTTTGTTTTTATGTCCCCTGAAAGGATCAAAGTAAATGACCAAATTGTTGATGTGGATGGAATCAGTCTGGTTGGTGTCACACAAAATTTTGCAGCAACTGTTCTCAGAAATACCAAAGGAAAAGTCAGGTAATTTTTGGTTTAAAAAATCATTACAGAAACATGTTTATCTGGTGTGCTGATGATATTGTTCAATGATATAACTACCTGCTTCATAATGGGATGAAAATGTGCCCAGAAAGGCCTAGAGACTATTGGATCACTCACTTCCATGAAGGAATGGGGAAAATACAAGTAATGGAAATGAATATATAAGAGCTTTCCATAGCTTTTTTGTGGGGCCATGAAAATCATATCTAGAATGGTGCCATCTGCACCTGAGGTAGTGTTGAGTGTTAGCTATTGTTTTGCTGGTGGTCAGTTCATATTGTCATTATGGCTGCTATAAGAGGGTCAATAGCTGCTGACAGGCCTCATTGAGCAAGTATAAGGACAAGCTGTTAGATTGTGGCTAGAAGTAAGTTTAAGAATGTTGAGCTTTTGTACATGTTAGTGCTCGGAAACCGATCAGAATGTGGAAATGAAAATTCTTGTCTCAGACGCACAGCCTAGCTCAAAGGTCCTCATCATCTTGTACGAATCATGATACTCGATAATATGTAGCCTGATGTGTGAACATTCTTTACTCTCTTGTATTGTGGGCATGAATGACATTTCTCCTAGCAAAATCCAGAAATGAATTTCTTGGAGTTAACATCATGACCTATTAAAGAGACCCAGTGTTGTATAATAGTTAGCGTAGTTAGAGTGTTGGACTAGGTTCAAATCCTCCCCTCCCCACCATGGAAGCTTGGTGGGTGACCTTGAACCAGTCACTCTCTCTCATCTTCACCTACCACACAGGGTTGCTGTGAGGATAAAATGGAGAAGAGGAGAATAATTTGAGCTGCTTTAGGACTTCATTGGGATCTTAATGAGGAAAGACAGGATCTAAATGAAGTAAATGAATAAAATAATTTGGTTTGACATAAGAACATAAGAGAAGCCAGTGTTGGATCAGGCCAATGGCCCATCCAGTCCAACACTCTGTCACATAGCGGCCAAAAACACCAGGTGCCACCAGGAGGTCCAGCAGTGGGGCCAGGACACTAGAAGACCTCCCACTGTTGCCCCCCCCCCAAGCACCAAGAATACGGTATATCGCCTACCCCAGCCTGTGAGTTCCTATCTATAGCTTGTGACTAATAGCCACTGATGGATCTCTGTTCTGCCACTACATTTTACAAGGTATTTGTGAAACCTATAAGTCAGAATGAATTTCACTGTTGTACAGTAAGAAGGTGTATAAAAGGGCAATAGAAATAATCAAGATTTCTTTATGAATGTTTTAGAAGTTGGCCCTTTTAATCTTAAAGAAAAGACATCCATTGCAGGGAGGGGATCACATGGTTAGACATTAAAAGTTGTGGTATGGAAATCATGTAGAGAGTAGGGGGGATTAGCTTCAGATTCCCCACAGAACACTTGCTGTCAACCATTGTGTGACATTACTTAGCAGTAGGCATATGGAGAACAGAAGGGAGTACTTCAAGATGTGGTGACAGCTGCCTAGGATAACTTGTACGGGTTTATGTTTAATCAATCAAGAATTTTTATCCTGTTTCCACTCAGCATGAAGTATCGAACAATGTTCAAACATCTACAACAAAACAATCCCAAAAAGGTCACAAATTACTGTGATAGAGGTGACAAGTTATACAACCATAAAGCCAGTTAAAACTTCATGTTATAATACAAACTCCCACATCAGAACAAAATTTCCCAGAATCTAAGAGCCTTAAGTCTTTAGCCTCAAGTCTTTTAAAACACATGCACAAAAACCAACCTCCGCTTCAGAAGTTCACCGAACTTTACTCCATTTGTTCAGGAAAACAAACCACTGACTTAATGTCTGGCTTCAGAACTTTGTTTCAAAAGGCCTGCAGGTATAATACAGCCTTACACTGCTTTATTGTTTGTTTGTTTTTAAGTTTGCCAGAAAAGGTAGTTTGTGCACTTCCTCTGGCAAGTTATTCTACAAGGTGAGGTTCATCTAGGAGAATGTTGTGGCCCTGATAAAGGACAAATGTACCTCTTGAAACGAATTATTTACTTAGAAGTGGCATTGTGGCGTCTCAATTGATATATGGGCTAAGGTAAGGCCTTGAGCTGCGATGGCTCAAGTGGTTTAGACGCTGAACTGCAGGCTGGAAGGTCGGTAGTTCAGCAGTTTGAGACCCAAGTGCCACATGACGGAGTGAGCTCTCGTCTCTGGTTCCAGCTCCTGCCAACCTAGCAGATCGAAAGCAAGAAATTGCAAGTAGATAAATAGGTACCGCTTCAGTGGGAAGGAAACAGTGTTCCGTGCGCCTTGGTGTTTAGTCATGCCAGTCACATGACCACGGAAACATCTTCGGACAGCGCTGACTCTTCAACTTGGAAACGGAGATGAGCACTGCAACTCTAGAGTCGGATTCGACTGGCTTTCAAGCAAGGGAAACCTAAGGCCTTTAAAGGGGAACAGGTAAATCTGGTAGGTCCTGCACTGGCTGTCATCATAACTAAATGTAACTTCTGTATTTAGAATCAGTGCAGTTCTGTTTATCAGATACCTGGGACAAATTTAATAGCTGTTTTTATTAAGCACCCCAGGAATGTCCGACTCATCCACTGTGAGAACAGAATTCTGGCTTTCATTGGCTTAGAGTCTGATCCAGCAAGATATTTCTTATGCTCTTATATTATTTCACTGATCTCCATAGATAAGATCCACAGGGTGCTTCAATCCATCTTGCTTCTTGCTGTGATCTACACAATTTGTGTGTCTTTTCCAAGCTGAGACATAGCAGTAATCTTGGGAAAGATTGCTTTGCTTTCTGTAGGGTGTTTTAGGAACCCAAGACACTGCCTTGTAAGGTAACCTGTTAGTCACTGTAGATTAGGTCCTGCACTGGTTGGTAGGTCTTGCACTGGCTGTCATCATATATCTTTTTTTTAGAAGTGTCATTTGGGCTGACTGCCACCCAGACTGCCACCAATAGTAAATGCCATAGTCATATTCTTTTGACTCTTGTCAATTATCAAGATTCCCACTTAATAATGAGTGGTTTTCAGCTGACGGTATAGTATGAGAGGAGTTTGAACCCACTGTATCTCCACAGGTAGGGTTCAGATCCTACCTCAGCTCAAAATGTAAAGAGTTGCTTTAAGCAAATTCATAGTCTTTCTGTATTTGTAATAAGTAAATGGTAGATAATACAACATTGCCCTGTAAGCTGTGCCGGAGAGGGAGCAGCACTTTTAGTAGTTCAGGAAGCACTGTAGTTGTCACCACCATCTGTATACTATTAACAATATGTGGCCCCCATCTGCGGATATCTAAATCTACGAATCAGGGCCACACAGACACTAAACAGATTTCTCAGTAAATTTGTCCTGGAAGACTTAAATATTCTGCAATTGGTTTTAAATATTTGATTTGTGCCCATTTATTCTTTTGTGTTGAGTCTGACTTATTTTTCCTATTCAGAGAACAGAAGGGCACATGGTAGCATACATCCCATTGGAGGAATGATCAACTGGATGAGCTCAAAATGGTTTAACTGATGTTAATAGGTCCTGCAATTGTATTTCCTGAGTATGTATGGGAACTAAGTTGGCATCTTTGTTCATTGCAGAGTCTGGTCCCTGGGTTTGTGTCTCTGAGGGGGCCAATTGTTATTGGTAAGCTGTTTTTTATTAGGGGACACAGGGCCGGCTCCAGATTTATGGGGTTGCCATCCTCCAGGCAGGGCCTGGAGAGAAGCAAGACTTTCCTCGCACTGAAAAAATCACCTGCTTAAGGCTGGGGTGGGGGCTGTCTTCGCAGTCCCAGAGTCATCTGTCTGGGCTCAGCAGGGACCATCACTGGGGCGGGGCGCCTGGTGACCCAGGACGGGGAGTCTGGGGGCTGCAGCAGAGTCCTTCATTTGAAACCCGGCATCCTCCCACGCCTTCCTCGGCCCTGGTGCACCTGCTGCAGGGTGCTCCCGCTGCGGAGGCCAGACCGGTTGGCTGCCGTTTCTGGCATCCACGTTCCCCAGGGCTCCCAGTGGGCGAGCCTGCCCTGCCGTCTGAGTGCCCCACCCCGCACACACACAGGCACGGGACGCCAGCCACCTCCAGGATATGGCTGAGTGCGTCCGCTTCCCTTGGAGCGCCAGCCTGGCTCCTGCCCGCCTGCTGGCTGCACCTTTGGGCAAGCCAGGGTGACATGAGGCATGGCGCTGGGGAAGAGATGCGGCCGGTCAGCTGGCTGGCGTGGGTGGGGGACGGGACAGAGGAGGCCCCTTTTGGGGGTGGCTGGGGAGACGGTCGTGTCCCGGGAGGGAGATGGGGGGGGGGGGGGGCCTGAAGAAACGGAGAAGCGCCCTGCCATGCCCCCCATCCCCGCAGGCATGCCGACTTCCTTCGTGGGTGCCTTCCCTGGCCAGGCGGGGTATGAGGCGAGCTCCGCGCCGGGCCTCCCCCTGGGATGCTGAGCCGGTTCTCTTCATACTGGCTGGCGTAGAGGAGAGAGCGCGGGGAGCCCCCCCCGGGGCCCGGAGAGAGTGCCTGCTGCCCTGGGCCTGGCCCGCAGGAGGAGAAGGGAGGAGGGGCCAGCAGGCAGGCAGGAGCATGTGCCGCCCCCACTCCCTCTCCAAAGACACCCGCTCCCCCCGGAGAAGGGGCCTCCTGGCTGTGGCGCTTGACAGGGCTCCGCAAAACATGCGCCACCGCCAGGAGAGTGCCGTCCCCCTGCAGCCCCACTGGTTGCACCGCCTCCCCCCCGAGGCCACTCCAGGTGCACTGCCGCCCCCATGTGCTTCAGAGCCTTGCACTGCCCCCTGGCGCACGCCGGAGTCAGGCCGCAGAGCCAGCGAGCGAGGGCGAGGCACGTTTGTGGTCCAGCCGTGGCGCGCAGGGCAGCAGCGGCTCTTTGGCGCGTGGGGGTGGGGGGGCGCCCGGGCGGGGTGCAGGTTGGCGCCCCTGAGGACCGGCGCACCCTAGGCGAATGCCTAGCTCGCCTAGTGGGCGAGCTGGCCCTGAGGGGACAGTGTAAAAGCCAGCAA